ATTAAAAGCATTTAGGATCTAGCCGGAGCATCGCCTGGGCCTGAGAGCTAGAAAACTAAAAATAAAGCTAGAAAAAAATTGAATCTGCGCTCCTGGGGCATCGCCCGGGTTTGTGAGCTAGAAAACTAAAAATTCAAAAACTTAAAGACTAGAAAAAATTGAATCGGCGCTCCCGGGGCATCACCCGGGTTTGAGAGCTAGAAAATTACAAATTAATTACATATTATATTATTTATTAAAATAAATAAGTATATATTAAACTATTAAATTTGAGATTAAAAATACTTAAGACCTAGCCCCGGAGCATCGCCCGGGTCTGAGAGCTAGTAACTATATATTATTTGATAATACCATATTTTCATGTGGTAACGCTTATTACGTAATACGTAGGAATATAAATTTAAATTAAAGGTAAAGGTTGCACAAATAATTACGCGCATGCATGTTAGGAAAATCATGTGATCGACGCGTAAAATATACGATCGCCATGTTATCTTAAAACATAGTGTCTCGGGCACGAGCATATGCACTAAATTTTTAATAGTACGCGTGCTGGCACTTGCATAAATTCAGTAACTTACCAAGTTTATTTTGACAGTTTGATGACACGATTTGCGCTACATTCGTTGATGACACAGCTTACGTATGACATGATTTTGACATTTCATGGCATTTATGGCATTTAGTAAATGCTACATTCGTTGATGAAACGTATGACATGATTTTGACATTTCATGGCATTTATGGCGTTTAGTAAATGCTACATTCGTTGATGAAACGTATGACATGATTTTGACATCTCAATGCGTTTAGTTAGATGCTATTTATGATTATTTATTCAAGAGTTGATTGGACCCGTGAACATTCAGTGTGTACGATGGTAAATAAGATATTCATGCTTGCAAATCGGATTGAAATTTGCAAAAAATTATCAACACTAGGTTGATCTCTGTCCAATATATTTCACTTCATTTTACTAAAAAGTAATATACTATATATATATATATATATATTGTTCATTATATGAAATTAATAATACTATTATATATAAGTTGATCAACTTTTTATTCTTTATTTCGCATATAGTAAAGGTCTTTATTAAAACTTTATGATTTATCATAAATCTTTTAAAAAAAATTGAAAACACAACACAAGATTACTTAATTACAAAATGGAACATGAACTAATTAAAATGAGAGAAATTATTTGTAGATCATCAATTTTTTTTTTTTAGATTTAGGGAAGAAATAATAAAGCTTGATAATTCATGAATTATTAACGATTAATATTATAGTCCACCATAAAAAATAAAGAAATAATTCAATAACGTAGAATGGGTGGGCAAGTGGTAAAACGGATATAAACTTATTTTTTACAAAATTATCAAAAGGATAAAAAAAAAATATAAAATAAAAACGGTAATATACAGTATGATTCACGGGCCGAAATTTTTACGATATAGCGAATCGAAATATGTTTTAAAAAAAATTACAAGAAAAAAAAGAGAAGAGGAGAATAAAAACTATAATCATAGGTTAAGAAAGAAAGGTCAAACACGTAAATAAATTTTTTCGAACGACACACACACCGCGTTACATTTTAATGCATAATGGGAATTCCCTTAATCCGATAATTCATAATAAAGATGGCTATCTTTCACACGTATATAATTTTTTAATAAAGATGGCTATCTTTCACACGTACATAATTTTCTTTTTAAATCTTTTTTTGGATTTTTTTTTTTTTGAAAAAATTTTTTCAGTCATCGCCTTTTTTTTTTTTTTGTTTTTTGGTTTTTTTTTTTTGTTTTTTTTTTTTTTAGAATATAATGCATGAAAAATAAAAACAATCAGGGAGGGGGAAAAAGGAAAGGTGGTTTTGCGAATTGATTTGTCAGATACCCGCTAACTGGTGGCGGTAAATGACGACGATTGGTAGCTTCCAATGGTGATTGAATAATTTCACGAAGACTTGAAGTTTGTTGTGGAATCAATGATACATTTGGGATGGACCACGACGATCTAGGTTCTATTGGCGAAGGTCTACTATAACTGTTGTAATTGTTAAGGGGTCCTTGTGATGGTCTCAATGGGCTCAATATTGGAGAAATATCGGCATCAGAAGAACTACCGCTACGTAAAGAAGCGGGTGGACTTGGAGGCTTTTTGCCGGCAGATTCTTTACGAAGCCGCTTTAATTCACAAGATTGAATGTGCCTCGAAAGGTGACCATAACGCGTAAAGGATTTTGTGCACCCATTGATTGGACAATCGAATGATTTTGTCCAAGTATTAGGGGAAGAATGAGTAGTAGTTTCGGTAAAAATATACCTGATCGTGCGTGAGGTGGTGGGCATCCCTTCATGTAGTGTTATAAATTGGTGCAAAAAAGTAATCGATTAATTAATTGAATATTTTTGCCAACTCAGCCAACTAAACGATTAATCGATTTCGATTCAAATCATTACCTTCATGTACAAGATATGTAGTGGTGTTTCGAAACGACACGGAGACCATTCTCCTATTGCGATCTCTTCTTCTGGATGTATTGTCATGAACTTTTCGATGTCTTGTGAGTTCATCTGACCTTGAAAATTTCTTTTCACAACCAGCAAATGTGCAGTGGTGAGGTTTCTCGCCAGTGTGGGTTCTTGTATGCCTAATAAATTTTGTAAATTTTTGTATGATTAACGAAAGATTGTCGATCAATAGATCATGTGACAAGTTTTATTACGTAATTGCAGATAATAAATTTTGACGTGTGGTTTGTGTAACATTTATTTGATTTATACTGATCGTAACTTTGTATTTACAAAGTTGTCAATTTTCAAGAAATAATTAAAAAGTACATGTAGAAATATGATCCAGAAACGAATCATGTGATTTTAGGTACAGATTACGCGAATGATATATTTTGCAGATTATAATTTTATAGCATTTATTACATAAAAATCAAGGTACATTTTCATTTCATTTCCTTTCAATTCATTTCAATTCAGTTCAATTTTTTTTTTTTTTTTAAATTTACTCAAGTACCTGTTGAGGTGCTCTAGGCGATTAAAACCCATAAAGCATGTCATGCATTGATACGGACGAGGACCGCTTTTATATTTGGTGGTAGAGCATTTTTTGTTTGAAATTAGGGTTTCGTTGTTTTGATTTTCATTAGGTGTTATTGTCGAGGGGACAGGGTCGAGTAATATTTTTGAGAGACTTGACATATTTAAACGTGATCACGTGACGTTTCGTAAAAGGGGGGTGGATTGGAAGCTCTTGGGAGTTCGTAGAAATCATATAGCGTCTTAATGCTTATATAACTTTTTTGTCGAGGAAAAAAAACAGGGTTTTCCAAAATTCACATGCCTATGCACTAAACAAATCTGCGATGCATTACCAAAATACTGCATTTACCAAAATAATTGGTGCATTTTTGATAAGTCAAAACCGTCAATTTTTGTTTAAACCGATATACTACTTATAACTTTTCAAGCTAACGTGTTTTAATGCAGGAAATCAATTGTTCTTGAAAGATCTACTTTGAATTTGAAGACAAACAAACCATAACCAACCATAAACCAACATAACATAAACCAACCATAAGGGAGAGTTTTTATTATGTTAATTGATCATGTAAGTATTGTTCATTAAGAATGGCATATCATTATCAATTATTTTTTTTTCGGTAAGTTCCACGTATTGTTTTAAATGGTCAAGATAAAGCTGCATTTCTTTCATATCTTTTTTTTTTTTTTTTTTGCCTACACACTTATCTACACGGAAACGTATCACGACAGATATAAATGTCAGTTTATGACGACAAATATCGTACTTAGAGATAATAGCAAATTTCCAATTTAGTTCGCCACGTTTTAAGATAACGTCGTGATGAACATAATAGGTTGCGATATAATCGATTTTGATTTAAACCTAAAATAAGATTAGACAAGTATAGCTTACATCACATTATGTATGCCCGAAGATGCCCTTCAACATGAAGATCAAGCCATAATTATATAAAAAAAAAAGATAAACGTAATTCAAGTTTTGTTTCATTATACTGTCTTAGATAATACAATAATAGAAGGGTATGTTACATTGATACACAAAAAAAAACCTGTCAAAAAAAAAAATAGAAAAAAAAGAAAGCGTACGAAGTCCCCAAAATGCAGGGTTTGTAATCGACATACTTTCTTGCAAGTTTAATTTGGACAGATTTGTGAATTGTTTGTGTTTATATCTTCGATATGCTGAACAAAGAATTAATCCAAAAAATTTTAACTACGTTTGATTGCGATAAAATGCATCTCTTGCATTTTACAGTATCTGACATTTATTTCCTACTTAGGATGTGCGGCAAAATTCTGTGTTTTCATAATCATCGTGAGAGATAACCCTATTTTAGAAATCTTGGAATTCCTATTCAACAATGTCTTTGTTTGATAACAAGTCAACGCATTATCATCATGAAATCATCATGAAAGATAGCAAATAATGTGCATGAACATTTTTGTTATCCATTATGATTAGCAAAGGCTAAATTTTATTATGTAAAATCACCTGAGGTCTTTGAAACGAGCGTGGCGTTCCTCGTGAGATTATCATTTCCTAACCTTATTGAAAGAAAATATCAACACATGTCAAAATTCTCTCGGAATTCACAAAGGTCACAAAAACATTGTGATGCGGAAAAATGTGACGATTTTCTAGAATTATCGAATGTGATTGCTTTATACCAATATGGGATGGATCAAGTTTTTTTCTGGTGAGGGTTAATAAGGTTAAACAAAGTGCCAACAATAGAAAGTCACGTAACCTTTTTAATACAGTATGAGTGGTTGTTTTTTTTTTGACATTTATCAAAAAGAAAAGGATTATCGAAAAGGATTATCGAAAAGGATTATCTTTTTGTTTGATTATCCTCCAATTTTTACTAAGCATCGTCGATCCTTTTCGTCCTTTTTCATATGGATACAAGTAACGCGTAGATTATTACTAAATCATAGCCGGTATAGAACCGGATGTTTTCCCGCAGGAATTAAATCTTACAATTCCATTATTTGTTCTATCGTGCGAAATTAACGTAAACGGCAAACCAGGTGATGTCATGTACGGATAAAAATTAGTTAATTGCATGAACTTGAGAACAGAAGAAATGTTTCATATTTGTATGAAATAATAAAATGCAATACCATGTGTTCATATGTAAATTTATCATGCTCTATGTACTAGTGATCAATCGATGTTGGTACACAACTCCACAGTCTGGAATTTATTGTAAAAAAAAAAAATTAATCTAGTTTGCATCTTGCATTCAATCACATTTTTACTATTATTATTATTAATTTTTTGTTATAGAAGATCTAAACAAACTTCTTTTAACTGCATTAATGCTAGAGACTTTTTTGTCATTATTATGAAAATGCTATTTTGTGTTATTTTGTGCTGAAAAAAACAATGAAATGTTGCATACGTATAATCGTTTTTAAAATAATTTAACTATACCGATACTGTTTCCAGTTAACTAATTATATCAATTTGGTATTACCTAGAATTCTGGATTCATAAATGTCGAGCGCGTACTTAAAGTTATATCTAGATTATATCAATTACAAATTATATTGTCAATAAATATCCGATATATTAAATAAATAAAAAAAATACAATTAATAAATAAAATACAATAAAATAAAATAAAATAAAGTAAATTAAAAATAAAATAAAAATTTATATTATATAATGCTTCCATTTTAGTGTACCCAACTTTAAACGTGGTAGTTTAAGATACTAGTATAAAAAAGCATTTGAATATTGTATAATTCATTAGAACGCGCTAACTTTATGATCAGCATAAAGATTCATATCTAATCGATCGTAAATTTCATTCTCTGTTCAAATATTTTCATTTAAACTTTGAACTAATTAAATAGTAGAAAAATGAATTAATGAAATTTTCTGTTCAATAACTTTATTTAAACTTTGCCAAAGTCAATTAAGTAATCCAAAAACAAATTCATTTATCATGAATAACATTTTTAAATTCAATTTTTAAGCATTTTATGCCAGGTTACCCTAAGAACGTCAATAGCGTCAATAGCGTTAATCGACTTTTAAAGCATAAATAAATATTATACCTTGGTCACGATATCAAGATCGCAAGATATAAATCAGTTATACCCTGGGTATTGTGTATAAGCGGAAATGAAATTTCCACTTATACCCAACTACCAAAGATATAAAGTAGCAATTCTTAATAATCAATCAATAATAATTCCCTGTTTAACGTTGTTCTCTTTATGCTTTATTTGTATACATAACTTAATACTAGTATACTAGTGAATCATATAAGTTACCGACACCACCTTATAATCTTAAAAGAGAAGTAAGAATGGGGATTTTATAGCATACGTCGATATAAAGATTTGAATTTATCGATCAAACCAAATGAAATAAAAAATCAAAAAAAAAGGAAAATCTCACTATATATTTTTTTTCGGAATCATAATAAAAATTAGCGAATAAGTTAAAAGATGTCTAAAACACACAAAAGTTTGTGTGAAAACTTTTTCTTTAGCGCATGAAATTAAAAAAAAAAAAAATTAGACTTAGGATGGAATTAGAATTTTTGGTAATTTCGTTAAGAACGATTCATCCATAAAAGAATTATATCCTCGGTATTATAATTTATAGCATCTTTTCTAACAGGCAAAATACCTGCCCTTCTATAGAAGGAGTAGTGATCATACGGGTATTAAACGATAAAAAATGCTGCCGTCTGTTATTATTCGGACCTCTATATGGAGCGCTGCTAGTGCAGCCATAATTTTCTCCCTTAAACTTTGCATGCTCAACTGCCACAAAGACCTGGCACGGGTTACGACGCACCACGTGAGGGTGCTCTTCTTGTACTTTGATAGCGACGTCCACGAATAAGGGGAACTTTTAAATTATAATAAAAACAAATTCCAAGTTAGTTTAATAAACTCCAAAATTCTATATTAAAATTCTATATTAAAATTCTGTAATTAAAATTCTATATTAAAATTCGATATTAAACTATTTACCTGTTGGAGGAAATTTTTATCATGTGAGGACATTATAATTTCATCCCCTATCATGTGGAGCAAATAAACATGTCCTGCTCGAACGCTTATCAACACTTTTGAAAGCCCGTGAAAAACATTTGAATCTATTTAAAAAAAAAAAAAAAAAAAAAAAGGTTATATATACATTAAACAGAATTAATCCCATTGAAATCCGTGGTTAACACTTACTCTTTCTTAATTGGGCCATTATACCCTCAGCTAGAGCCCAAAGTGGTTCTTCTAAAATAGGGATATGTTCACCCGTACTTAACAATTTTTTAATAAGCCATGAATGAATAACGGATCCAATTATTTGTGAGCTAGGTTCTATACAATTATCATAATGTGATATCTATTAAAATATATTAAAAGGTATATAAGGCATATGGTTAATTCTTATCTATCACTACCAGATATTAACAGGGATTGTTACACGAAAAAAATAAAGTTACCGCACAAGCGTTCAAACAATCATAATAATAGGTCTTTCTTAGACTAGGTATTAAACCAAAACCATGGGATTCGATTTGACAAAAATCGCTAACAAATTTTGCGAAAGGATCCTTTGTGTCGTTAGTTTCGCATGAACTATTGTAATCATCGTGGTTTTCGTTATTCTCCTCTCCATATCCAGATATGGCTTCATGAGAAGAATCATCATTCCTTATCATGTCATTTATTCCCATTTCGCCATTGGATTGATTATAAACTTGACTCTCACAAATTGAATATATGGTATGTGTGATTGGCAACGAGAGTAAAGAATTTACTGAGTGTTGTTCGATGAACGTCAAATCACCTACAATTAATTAAATTAATTAAATTAATTACATAAATTTGATTAATTCGTGTGCTAACTATTTGGAACTTGTAAGTAAAAAGGTGGAATAAACTTTGATAAAAAAAAAACAATAGGTTTGATATGATATAAAAGAACAAGTAATGATAGAACACCTCTTAGTTAACAGTGATTTATAATCGCTGTATTAACACGAGTTAACAAGGTGCTTGAGATCCCATGTATTAATTCTTTCAAATTCTTTCAACAATAGAGTCTAGAGTAAAAGGTAGTAAGAATTACCTGTAGCGTGCAAAGCCGGTCTTCTGTCGGAATCTTTCGAATGAGTGAAATGCATTGTTTAGACTTAGGGCCAGAGAAAAACAAAAAGGTGACAAAGAAAAGCTCGTTGGAAGATGAGGTTATGAATTTTTTTTTTTTTTTTTTTTTTTTTTTTTTTTTATTTTATTTTTTTAAATTCAAACAAGAATTCGTGAGGAATGGTATTATATGGATGTTTTTTTCTCGGCCTATTGAAATTTGTGTTGTTCCTGCTCCTCTATTTCATGAAATTGTTAAAAGGTAGTTAATTATTAATAGAGGGAATTAAAGGGCAGATAACACAAAAAATTAAGAGTAAGAAAGGGAGAGACCACCAAAAAGAGAGAATAAATAAGAGCGTATAATATAGCAATCAAAAAAATCTTATAGATCTAGTACCACGCCGAAAAAGTTCTGTGTAGTAAATGGGGGATGCATATCATATTGTTAAGGTAGGATCATACACACAAATAAATTATCAGAATAGAATTATCAGATTTTTTTTTTTTTTTTTTTTTTTTGTGCCTATAATTGATTTGGTTATCTTAAATGAAATGTAAGATAATATCTTTAAGGTGCACAAAATGCGGTGTGAGTCCACGAATGATTCCGTTTCGATACTTATTTCAATGCTTAATAGAATTCTGAAAAAAGGTGCAATTTTGAATTTATCGGATAATTTTTTTATCAAATGCTGCGGAAGTTTGTTATCAAAGGCTTGAAAATCGTGCACAATCAGGTATCAGCGCCCGAAGTAGGGGAAAAAAAACAATGAACAATTATAACAAAAAATCATCTCTTATTTAGATTTAACATATTTATTTGGTAGATCTACAATATCCAAATGGGTCATAAACGCCCATAAAAGGCATCTAAATCGCGGGGGTGTTAGGCGCTGTTTTATTTTTATTGCAATAATGAATTAATTTTTTTCCTGACTAGTCACATTATACAGTCGTACCCGAGTAGACTAACCTTTTGATTGTTCAAATTTCGGAACGTGTTCATTAGAATTATCTTATTCGCAAGATAAGATTAGATGAATTTGTTTAATTGGTTGTCAAATTCAAAAAGTTTTGTTATCGAACGATAACGATAATACGATAATGGAGGCGTAACAGTAATAGTAAACAAAAAAAAAAAATAGTTCTTCTCGAATAGGATTTAAAGTTACACGGAAATATTGCATTAGCAATTTACCTAATTCGTTACCGAACGTATGTATAACGTTAATGTACGAGAATATTCAATTGTAATCAATCACACCATCTTTTCGGCCCATTTCGTAATTTTCAATCATACTAGACCAGAAATTGTTTGATCTATTTTCTTTAGCTCCATAAACCATACAAGAATTCTTTCAGGCCAATTTTTAATTCGACTGGGTCTCAACATGCGGTATTACCTATGTATGTATTCTCGCTTCCGATATATTTACGTTTTAGATTCTTATGTATCGATTCTCGATTTCGATTTCTTGATTATCTCCTTCCAAACAGGTTATCGATTATTTAAGCTCTGATCGTTTGTTTACTCTTACAGCGTGATATTTGCCAATATTCTGTTGTGGATGGGAAATGTTTCTATATACGCATTCATGTTTATTGTGGATGCTAATTATAGTCCCATTCGCTTTTTTTGATCTATGAAACGAAGACCCTGTCCACGAAATTGCGTCATTTTTCTTATCCCCAAGAATTGGGCATTTTGTTACATTTCATTCCAGGTGAATTCTTTAACACAGTTCCCTTAAAAAGTTCTCAAAAAGTTCTCAAGTAGTAATAATCACATAATGTTGAACTTCCAAAATGGAGTTTACTAATTTCTTTCCATATTTCTATTGGTTGGATTATTTGCACTGATTTACTTATGACATCATAGTTAGATTAGAGCTAGAGTTAATGAGTAATTCTGTACCAAAACTTTACGAGGAATCTTTTTGTTAGTGCGCAAAGAGTAGTTTCTTGGGCATTTTGAAATTAACGTGATTTTTCGAAAAAAAAAGTGATTGTTTTTTTTAATTTCACACTAAACCTGATCTTGTTTCCTGATTGGCTAGAATCAAAACTTGATTACAGTGTTACAGGGGTCCGTATAATTTCACCGACAATTACTTCACCGACAGTTTGTTTAGCCGACATCACGCCAGGTGAAATTTAGTAAAAATATATACCTGCAACTAATCAAATGCTTAAGCCTAACCCTATGTGATGTCGGCTAAATGAAATGATTGTCGGTAAATTGATCGGAACTGGTGTTGGTGTTCCGGTGTTACAGTATTGCAATAATTACAGTATTAGTAGGTTGTTACATTTGAAAAACATCATAAATTAAATTTATATAGCAGGAAAACTGCCTGGTTAATTTTTTTTTTTTATCAGATTTGCAATTGTTATTATAATCTCTTACGATTCCAAATAAGTTTGTTTTTTTTTCGAAAATGTCAAAAATTTCAGAAATACCGTAAGAGTTCTTCCGAGATTCTCAAGGTGTCATTCATGGCATTGCACATTCGCAGCGACGGCGACAAAAATTAGCTTCAAACTACGTCCCCTCGTTTTCCCCAGTGAAAAGTTGTTCATTTCGGTTTAGGTAACTGCAATCTCTGTAATGTTTTAATTAACACTGTTGTGTTCTTGTAACTGAATTCACTTACCAAGTAAACGTCTAATTTAGAAGTGCTGTAACATGGAATCACATAAAGGCTGCTGATAAGGTATTAACAGAGTGCTTTAAAAAAAATGCTATTTCTTGGAGACTCTAATACGTAGTATTTAATTTATTAATGTGGACCTGCAGCGACATGTTTTAGAGGAGCGACAAGCTTTAGAGGATACACAAAGGTATGCTGATAAAGATTCGTACAATTGAATACAGCCAAATCTCTACATATGCACACTCTATAAATGTACACCCCCTATAATTGCATCCTATGTCTCAATCCCTACTATTAATAACACTATAAAATTATTCTTTCTAAATGCACAATCATGGTCGGTCCTGAGGAGGTGTAAATATGGAGGTTTGACTATATTATTTTTTTTCTCATTTATTCGTTTATTCATTTCATCCTTAAATTCAAAGACGATAAAATAGTAAATGTGATTGAAAGAGATTTAGGTAGTATCGGAGGTATGGGGAGAATAAGTTAATCTGTAATATCTTGCAGCTGCTGATTTTCAATCCTATTTGGTGATATGAGGTTGTACGTATGTTATTTTTGGGATGTTAAAAGTTCAGTCCGAGTCGGTCTTTTGAATCAATTCCAAAGAAGTCGAGTCTTTATTAAAGTTCGGTCCCAAAATCATCTTGGGACTCGACTCTGCATTTCACGTGCAACTTATATATTTAAAATATAACACCAAAAAGTACTAAAAAGAAATGTATATGCATGCAGAATACATAACTCTTTCTGCTATATTTAAATGTCCAAAGATGTATGTGAAATGCGGGGTCGAGTCCCAAATCGACTTGGGACCGAACCTTAATAAAGACTCGACCGGATCCCTACGCATTTCATTGTTTAAATGTTACGTAGCGACTTTAGATCACATATCATTCTTTGTGGTGAGGTGAATGGCTAGAAGAAATGAGGCCAAAGTTTCTGGCTCTGTTGTTTAATGAAAGTCCCTACAAACACCATTAGAGCTTCCTAGAACTTCAATTTCATAATACAAAGTCATGTGAAAATTAATGTATGCACATCAACTCATCAGGAACGCTATACCTGAATGAGTACGTATTTGTACCCACCCGTTGCTTATTTAAGTCAAGTTCAGGGATAAACTCATATCGTATTTTGTGCTAACCATATATTAAAGTTTCTGGAAATATAGTGCGGGCCGAGTAGTACCATTTTATTCTATTTATGTTATAGTTCATGGGAGTGTAGCAATTAATTTTTAATGCCGTCTTTACTGACATGTTTGTTACTTGTATTATGACATAACAACTTTATTATAAAGTTGTAGTAGTTTAAAGCTTGTCACCTCACGTGGTTACCAGGCCAATCAAATATTTAACCTAATATTAATCAATTGAATATCGGGCTAAACGTCTTCTAAAGTTGGAATATACATTACTTCACAGTCGGTTTTGGCCGGTCAATGGCCTGACTCCTGATCAACGACTGATCTGATCTAATCATTTTAATATTATACATATATATATTTGTTAAACAAAAAAGTTCTTATCTCGAGTACTGGTAAGCCATAACGATAATAAATCTGCATTAAAATACACACAATCATGTGTTTTATAGAAGTGCACGCTATTTTATACATTTAAAGATAACTATACATGCAGTACTAAATATAGTGCTTATATATAGAATAAAAGTTTTTATATACACACGTAGTATATATATACTATATGCATATCAAAATATATCATACATATATGTCACGATAAGCACATGTATAATATTTAAATTTTAATTGATTAATCTGTATATATAGCTATATCAATACATTGTTTTAAAATTATATAGTAGTCAAAAATTGCAAAATTGTTTTTGCAATTATAAAAAATAAGCTTAAATCTTTTGCAATATAGTTGGTATCTATTTAAAATTAATTAATTAATAAT